ACGGCATGCTGTTTCAAATAGGGATAACCTCCATTAGCTCATAGAAACCTCTTTTCCTTAATGAAAATCTCAGGGTTTTTTGTTTTTAAATATTTCCCCCCGATATTATTTTGGCTGAACAGCAGAAGACTCGCACCTCATGCTTGAAGTCTGCTAACTGCTTCATCCTGCTGATCTGGCACAGACACCCTGTGCTCAATGTATGGGACCTCAGCTGGCCACAAGCAGTAGCATGGAATTGGCTATCAGAGAACTGCAGCCATTTGGCTAAAAGCCTTTGCTTTGTAGAATAAACCAGAGCCATAGACACACTAGCTTCTTCTGGCCGTGACATTTTTTATTTCCCATTTTCCTCACAAATAAATAAAAAGCTTTCCAAACATCAGATGGTTTTCCCAATTCATTTAGCAATGGATTTCCTACTCACAGCTCTGGAGAGCACCCTCAATCTGCAGAGAGTTAACCTCAATCTGCAGAGAGTTAAATGCCCCTCCAGCACAGTTCTAAAATAAAACTCGTTAGTGTAGATCTGCATCAGGCTTCTGGTAAGACAGACTCTTTACTGGAAATGCTATCAACCAATCATCAGTGAAATAGGAAACTGCAGAGAACAAAGTTCAGTCCAAACAGCACTGTAGAGATTTTCACTTAAGATACAGAATAAAAGCCATGGAGAAAATTAAAATGCAAGCCCGATGTGAAACACTCTGCTAATATACTCCCTACTTTATATATTAGGAGATTTTGTCCAGTTTAAGAGTACAGGCCTGGCTCTGAGGCAATGAAGAGCATCTTTTTATCACTAAAAATAGGTTCATCCTTGACTGTATTTATGGATATGGTAGGTATACCAACACAAACTGTGTCTCATTTCCAGATGTCTTTCTTCAGGACCTTGTCTGGACATTATGACATTCATATCATCACCAACACTGTAACTCTACACGTTGACTACAAAATTATCATTTTCTGCCAAAACCAGAAGAAAAGCAAAAGCATAGTTGATTATGGAGATGATGTGACTGTTTCAATCTTGTATGATACATCAACACAGAATAAACATGTTTCCACTTATGGTAATACACTACACAACATGTATTACATGAACATTTTAAGCATCCCAAGTTACATGAATTCCTTTGCTCTGAGGCCTGCACTCTAGGCAGCCTAAAATTTCAGACCCACCAAATTTAATGTGGACAAAACCAGTACTTCACAACTACTACTTCTGCCTTCAGCACACTTACATTTTTAGCCTCAATTTTAATACAGTGAAGGCCCTGTAGAGAAAGAAAAGATTTCTTCCTTCCATTTGTAACTAGTTCCTGAACTGGCTTGCCAGCTTACTTCTATGAGGAAAGCATCACAAGAATCAGGAGCTGGATGGAGGAGAGGAACCTCAGCCAGTTCTCCCACTGAAAGAAAAGTGAGCATATCTCTGTCCTCAGATCACCATATGCTCTGTCTGAAAGGCACTAGGCAACCTGCACATGTGAGGCTCCGGCATGGCCACAAGGCATGCTGCTCCCGTCTGGTGTGTGTGACAGAGTGGGAGCTGGAATACAAGTGTACAAATCCATATGAAGCCAGGTTTTATTTCTCCCACTGTTCACAGAATTTTAAAATATATTCAGAAAAACAATCAAGACAATTCTTGTCAAAGCAGTAGCAAGAGAAACGGAGGAGGAAGAAAATGCAAGAATCCAAATGTGACTTCTTCACTATAATTAATAGTTTAGCTTAAAAATACAGGTATATTCAGAAATCTGTAGAAGCCACACACAAATCTGAAAACTCTCTTTGGGGAAAAAAGGGTCTTTTTCATGTTTTTCCACATGAAAAATGGGGTTTAACTGCTACTAAAAAGCTGCTGATTATTTTCTGAAACTACATCAGGTACAGCTTCACATTATCTGTCCATACAGAGAAGTTCTGACAGCACACTCACCTGAAAGCTTACTTAATATCCCACAGACACCCCTGAGGCCACGTCTGCAGCTCTCAAATACATACTTAATTCTTTACTGGAAGTACTTCATTCTGTCATAACTTTGTCATAAGAGGACATATTCAGTGCCATTCCCAGTGAGCACAGCTGTCTCACACAAATGTAGCACTCTCAAGACTAATGAGGGACCAATTCTGGAAGCCTGAAACCCAAATGAATTTTCTCTTGGAGAGAAAAACACAGCCTCAGTCTTCCTTCTTTAATGGTTCTTAAAGATGCACTTAGAATGCATAACATACATCCAAAATATAATTATTTTTGGCCTAACCGATGACTTCACAAAACCTAGTTACTGAATGAGCTCTACCATACTCATTTCCTTCCAAGTGAAGGAAACACCTCCGTTGAAAAAGAACTGTTTGCTATCAAGTAGAATATTTTTAGCTTGCACCCTGGCATTCTTAAGAAGCCTGCACCAAATACCTTTTTTTTATTTTAATTTATGTGTTGGAATTTGCAAGGGTCAATGCCATTCCTATGACTTTTTCTATTCCAAGTATGTGTAGAAAACACCTGCCAATGATTTTCCCTCATTTCTAGCTTTCTGTTATCAATTCCAGAGCAATTTATTTTTACTGATTGCCATGTATCGTTCCCTCATCATTTCCATATATTGTCAAATACTCACATTCACTTCCTTATCAAACCAAGATTTGTTTTCCCCACCAGAATTTCCCCTTTTTCTTGAGGATGAAGCTTTCTGATCTTAAAATAAATTCATCTGAAGGACCTAATTTCCATTCACATTTTTGTATAAAGACACGGCCTCACAATCTTCTTGGTTTTGGAAAATTGTCCTCTTGGAAACAGTGGACACCTAAAGTACTAATTGGGAATGCTTTCTATTCGCACTTCATATGTTGAATGTATTGTGGTGATAACCTCTGATCCCAAGAGAGCTATTGGTTATTAGTGCAGTCCTACCAAAATCCTGTCATGTAAATCTAATACAGTCTTGAATCTCCATAAGGGCCACCATAGAACTTCCATATGACAAGAGTCACCCAGTGTCTATATGATAACTTCAATGACAAAAAAAAAACCAATTTATAAGAACTACTCAAGTCTTACTGGTGGATCCATTTTTGAAGTAAGCACCAGATGGTATTTCCACATGCATTTTTCACTTGCCCCAGTCATATTCATAGTTAGAGCAACTTTTCCCCTTCTCAGGTTACTAAGTGTAATGCTATAATGGGATGATAATAGCAGGGTAGCAAAGCCTTTGGCTACAGCAAATGAGAATGAGTCCAAATGCAGCAGCCAGATACAGAAATGAAGGAAAAGTGCTGCTTACCTTTGGAAGGCTTCAGGCAGGCAGGGATCTCCAGCAAGAGACACCCTCACCTCCACTACCAAGCCTTAAATGAGGTCTAGGAAGGGGTGGATCCTGAATCCATTACTTGCACCTTGCACAGTTGGCCCTGCCTTCCCATCAGGTGTTCAATTATTGTTTCAGGCCATAACTTAGCATTTCCACTACACCAAGTGAAGGCAGAGAATCAGTCCATGTAAGTATATTAATTAAATAGATTGTTGGGCAGGTATTGCCGAGAGATTCAAGTTCACAGAACTGTAAAATGATGAAATGCTGTTACTAAAAAGAACATTGTACTATGAAGTATGCATGTTGACCTCTTGCCTGTGTGTATACATAGACTTTTTCAAGTTCTGTACTAAATGAAGTCTCAAAAGCAGTAACAGAACAATTAAACTTGTTCATTCTAAGTTTTAGCAGAGTGAAATAACAAGGTAAGCTAGCAAACATGTTTCTTGATTCATAAGTATCAAGTGTGATACTACCATTCCTTAGAAGATTTTAAAAAAATATGGAAAGGGTTTCTTTAGTCACTTCATTGCACTTTGACAATGCTTTTGTCCTCTCTAGCAAGCCCTATAAGAAGCAAGTAATAGTAGCCTCCACACACTTTGCAAACAATTCAGAAGATTATATGCTCATCTATAAGAGGACTTCACTGACTTCTTGCCACTATAGAAAAGCAATGGGACTCCAGTATTGATTCTTTACAGTCTACATCCATGAAAATAACAAACCATCATCATAGTGCTACTGTATGACAGGAGAGCATAGAAAAAGTTGGAATGTGCTCATTGGAAGGACAAAAGAATATAGGCACAGACTGAAATCAGGGAAATTCTAACTACAGATAAGTAAAAGAATTCTGTGTGAGAGAGAACACTGGAGCAATGCTCAGAGGGCCAATGGAACTTCCATTCTTAGGGAGACTCAAAGCCTGCAAGTACACAGCCCTGAGCAATCTGCTCTGAGTGTGCTTCCCTAATAATTAAGTCCAATGATCAGCAAAATATTTTTAAATAATTAATGTTTGGCTTCCAGCATCAGCCCTCAGATAGCTTAGCAAGCAACAAAAGCTTGTGCAATCCATGCTCCTGCTCCAGGACAACCTTTTTCTGTCCCCTACAGCACATTTTTTGACTATATTTTTAATAAACTGTACCTCTATAGAAGCCAATAGTACCATGCTTAGCATGCATAGAATCTCTACTGATTGCAACTACGCAGAAAAGATGTTCCTGATAAAAGAGAAAAACTAAGACCTTAAACAGGTCAGAATAGTTAAGGCTGAAAGATACTTTTAGAGGTCACCTAGCCTAACTTCTTCTCTGGTCCACTAATTTGGGCTTACTTTCACTATGCCTCTGACATCCAGTAGCAGTCATCTTCCACAGTGATAACACCAGTTGACGCTACTATATCAAAAAAACAAACAAACAACAACAACACACATTGCACTAATGAATTTCCATTTCCAAGCCCTGTAACCCCTTGCTTGCTTTACCACTGTGAACTACCCCAAGGCATGTTCTACTTTTCTACAAAGAAAAAAGACAATGTGTAATAGGATAGAAAGTACAGCAATGACAGCAGAGCAGTAAGGTCCCAAGTCAGAACAAATGAGTATTTGCTCAAATGCAATAGCCACAGAAACAAAGGAAAGACACTGCTTACCTTTAGAAGGCCTCAGGCATACAGGGAACTCCAACAAGATACTATTGCCTTCACTACCAACCCTTAAGTGAGGTCTGGGAAGTGGTGGATCCTGGTATTGCATGCACCTGAGCTCCTCTGGGTTGGCCCTGCCTTTCCACCAGGTGCTCAATCACTATTTCAAGCTGTGACTTGCATTTCCACTACACAAGAATAATACAAAAATCATGAAATCCTTAACGCTTAGAAGAGACCTTTAAAGGCTATCTAGCACAACTCCTGTGCAATGAACAGGGATGTTTGCAGTTAAACCAGCATACTCAGAGCCTAGTCCAGCCTAACCTTGAGCATCTCTAGGCTATACACATTCCCTAGGCTATACACATTCCCTGTAGAAGACTTCTTTTTCTTGTACCCAACCTAAATAATCTCTCCTCTTTAAGTTTGAAACCATTTCCCCTTGTCCTACCACCATAAACTCTGCAAAAGAATCTGTCCCCTTCTTTTCTATAGCAGCCTAAAAGGCCACTATCAGGTCTCCCTGGAATTATCTCTAGGCTGTAACATTCCAGCTTTTTCAGTGTATCATCGTAGGAGAGGTGCTCTTTCCTCAACAGGAACAATAGAGTAACACAGGTGCCTCTAAGTGCTTTTAGAATTACCCAATAAAGGTATTTGTCACAAACCAACAATAGGAAAGATTATGCTTACCCCCATTCTAAAGATAAGGGCTTGCTAGAAAACTCCCAGAAGGAAGCAATTTCCAAGTAGAGATATTTCCTTCCTGGCTACCATCCCTTAAATGAAGTTAACACAGGTGAATTACTTGCACCTGTGCTCTCAGGACTGGCCACATCTTTTCACCAGGTGTGAATCGCTGGTTCAGGTCCTGACCTAATGGTTATTATATACATCCCTATGATCAATTTTGTGCTCCTTCTCTGGAAGCACTCCAACAGGTCTTTGTCTCTTCTGTGCTGAGGACTTCACAGCTGGTTGCAGTACTCTAGGAGAGGCCTCAGCACAATGCAAAGGGGCAGGATCATTTCCTTCAACTTGCTGACCATGCTTCTTTTGATGCAGCCTAGAGTACAGTTGGTTTTCTGGGTTGTGAGGGCACACTGCTGGTTCATGTTCAGCTTCCCAGCCACCAATACCCTTAAGTCCTATTTGACAGGGCTGTGCTCAGTCCTTTTATCCTCCAGCTTGTATTGGTAGAGGGAGTTGCCCTGACCCAGGTACAAGACTGTGTACTTGTAGAACCTCATGAGGTTCTTCTGGGACCGCTGCTCAAGCCTGTCTAGGTCCTTCTGGTTGGTATCCTGTCCCTTGAGTGTGCTGACTACACCTCACATGTGTGAACACATGGATGTTCAGGTTCCTCAGGTCATCACAAACCTGATATTTGCTCACTGTGAGATGGACGTTGCTTCCCCAATCCTCTCCTCCTGAAACAATTGTTTGAGGGCTGTGTGACAAGCAGTTATCAGAGAAGACTGAGGCAAAAAGGTTGTTGAGTACCTCAGCCTTCTCCTTGTCTGTTGTTACCACTTTGCCTATGTCACTCATTTGGAGGGTACACACTCTTGGACTTTCCTTTTCTGATCGAAGTACCTGTGGAAGCCTTTTTGTTCTTCTTGGCACCTCTTCCCAAAACCACTTCCACCTTGGCTTTCCTTACTCTATCCCTACATAGACTATCAGCTTCCTTATAGTCTTCTCCACAGTACCTGTCCCTGCTTCTACTGCCTTTGCATTTTCTTCTTGCTTTTCAGTTTGACCAGCAGGTTCGGTTCTGGTTCAGTCTTGCCAGTCTTTTGCCTTCCTTTCCTGACACGCTACACCTGGGGATGGAGAGATCTTGTGCTCCGAGGAAAGCTCCCTTAACGATCTTCCAGCTCTGTTCCACATCCTTGGTCTTGAGAACAGTTACCCAGGGCGTTTTGTTAACTAACTTCCTGGAGAGCTAGAAGTTAACTTTCCTAAAATGTAGCATCCTAATTTTACTCTTTGCCTGTCTCATATTCCCCAGGAATGTAAACTCCACTACAGCACAGGAAGACTCCAATCCTGATATCACCAATCAGTTCATTTGCACTCATGAGCAACAGGTGCTGTATTGCATCCCCCTGGTGGAGTCACCTATTACTTGACTCAGTAAGTTATTCTCACCGCATTCTAGGAGCCTCCTGATTGCTTATAGCTTGCCATGCAAAGTACATTGACTAAGCTGTAGAAAGCCATGAGCTTGGGCTTTGTTTCTGCTGTTGGTCTAGTGTATGAAGTGGAGAGATTTATGGACTTGATCGGTCATTATATTAAATGGGTAATTTAGAATATTTATATAAAGTGGAGATATAGAATATTAAGAACCAGTCTAATACATTATATATGAAAAGTACAAGAAAGGTCCTGGGATGGAGAGGTTTTGCTCTAGGGAAGAATTTTTGCCATCAGACAGCTAGATCCTGCTCTATTTCTCAGCTGATACCAGAAGCATTGGTGGAAATGAAGGTTTCAGCCATTAAATGTTGCCACAGAGTATAGCACAGGCACAGCCTTTTTAAAGAAAAGCATTGTAAGCTTTGTACAACCCAAATCATACCTGCTGCAAATACCCTTTCTTATTTGCTCATTATCCACAAAATGAATTTTCACCTTGCTATATTCCCTTTTGTATCTTGCCATAGAATAATGAAATAAGAATTGTTTTACTCATTATGGAGACATTCTGATGTCTGCATACAATTCTCAAAGTCTGTGAGTAGTTAACTGATTGATGTGAAAAACATGTACTGGAAACAGTGAAGTGTTACTTACTGCTATTAGGAAAACTTGAATATATCTAACCCATCACATTTACAATTAGTTACAAGAAACCTATTTTTTATATGGCTCTTTGAGACCATCAGATATAGAAAGCTGCTGAAGCATATATGGCAAATGTTAGGATTCCAACTTCTAGTTTATCCTGGTGCTGTAGCACATTTAAGCAAACAAACAAAAACAAACAAACAAAAAACCAGTCCCACAGTAATTAAAATTGCATGGAAGGAAAAAAAAAGTTATTTTTTCACTGACATCTGATATTCTGTTCCTTAAATGGATTGTTGTCATTAGTAATAAAAAAAGTCATATTTCCTTTCAGGATTAAGGCTGATTATTGTGAAATGTTTAGACTGTTTGTCAGCAGCAATCTTTCATTTAAAAAAAAAAAAAAAGTCTTTAAGATCCTTTATGTGGACAAACCCCCAGCGATCATACTCAAGTTGTAGCAGAAGCAAGCATGAAAATAAAGTTTTGGTGGAAGTGAACAAAGAGATCCTCTAATACCCCGGCAGGGTATAGAGGCAAAGACGTAACCCCAGCAGGATTGTAGCCCTATAAACCTCTGCACCCTCAAGCTGCTTGTGATTGATGACAAATAACAAATCACAGCTATAGTTGCACAGCTGTCATGTTGTACCCCATTTCTACACTCCTGTTCAGTAGGGTGCTTTACATTACAGCCCCTGGGACAGAAGCCCTCTTTTGCTACTCTTAGCAAATGTGTGTGTCCCTGCCCCAAGGCAAACCCTGGCCCCACTTTAACAGGTCAGCTAACAGGCAGTGAGCACCAAGTAAGCTTAGGCCATGAGTGCCCAACCTTTTGGCTTGCCTGGACTGCAATGAGTCAAGAGCAATTGCCTTAGGCCGCATCTATGTTGGCCTCCTGTTTATTTCCAAGCTATAACTGAGAAAATGAGCACAGTAACTGATAGAGCAAATTCTCAGCTACAAAATACTATTTTTCAACATAGGCACTACCATTAGCTCTGCATTTTCACCAGCGATGAACATGAGCCTGCATAATGTGCTTGTCAAAATCAGCACCAGTGGAAATGACCAACTGTTACTGTTGCCTTTGAAAGGCACCACCCACCACCTCACTGTGCTCACATCACTGTTTGGTTGTTATAAATGTTCAGCAAGTGTCAACAAATGCCAATGGGTACAATTGCTCAAATTTTTATTAAAAAAAAAAAAGAAAGCAACAAACCCATAAAACTAGTAGGATATGTGATCTTGCTTTTGTGAAACTCACACACCAATCTGGTTCAATGGCAGTGGCTGCAATCCTTAGTGAGGTCTCAAGGTATTTGCCAGAGATTTTTGATGAAATTTTACTCTTCTTGTCTTGTTCAGAAATGTGCACACTGCCAAAAAACAATTACAGAAATAAGATGTGGCTGTGAAGCACATCATATTTTTCTCTGGTGAGATAGGGCTTATAAAAGTCTAGTGAAGACACATGATCAGATTTTTGAGTTGAATGTCTGATTGCAACTCAATATGTTGCATTTGAAAATTCAAAGGCAATTTATTTGTGTTAACTGAAAATAGAATTGCAAAGATACCAAGAAATTGATGATTTTTTCAGCAATCTTGAAACCTATTGTCAAATTCCTGTATCATTACAGAAAGCACAGCTGCATATTTTTCTCCGTTCACGGGCCAGTGTGTGAAAAGGCATACAATAATTTGCCATAACTTGAGCTGGCACTGCACTGCACCCTCCCTAGGTCCTGGTTTCAGCCCAGATAGGGTTACAAACTGGCTGTTTGGCTCAGCAGGGAGGAGCTGCTGCCTGCATAGCATGGAGCAGGGGCCAGGCCGCATTGCTGCTCTTGGGCTGCAGGTTGGACATGCCTGGTTTAGGCCATAAGCACTGAGACTCATGGATGCATACACTTCCTGCAAGTGTTGCAATAAAATTTTACATTCAAAGGGTTTTTAGAGTATGATTTACTGCAAAAATGTGACAAAACTTTCTGTTGCTAAGTAGAATCCAGAAGTTCAAAGGGGGATTTGATCACAAGAGCCTTTGCTTTCAAGAGGCTGGCTGTGCTGCAGAGGTGACGTGCACGAGTTTGACAAACAGGAGCAAGGCTGTCTGTTACTAAGTCACTGCAGGTTGACAGCCTCGTAGCCAAAGCAGATTTCAGGGAAAACATTTGTTGGCACCCATTGGCATCCCAACAGTCAGACAGATACTCTTGCTGGAGATGTAGAGGGACCAAACCCAACATATATGAAGAATGTCAAAGCCATAAGAAGACCAGAAATGAGTCTGGTTTGGGATTCAGGTTTTGTTGCTT